AGTGGATGTGTCCACTCAAAAGCATGCGTAGGAACTCTACTTCAGTGAAATAATATTAAGAGGTAGGACCTAATAGGAGGTGTTGGTTCATGAGGGGTCTCCCTCATGACTGGATTAATGATGATTATAAAAGGGATTGAGGTTATGAGGTGGATCTCTTATATCCCTACCCCCTTCTCTTACCCTCTCTCCCTCTCACCTTCTGCCATAGGATTTTGTAGCAAAAGGGACATCAAATGTCAGAACCTTGACATTAGACTTCCCAGCCTCCAAACTGTGATTAATAAATTTCATTTCTTTATAAATTACCCAATCTGTAATGTTGTTGTAGCAACACTGAATGTACTAAGACATCCTATTTCATAATGTCTAGCATACATAAAACAAAATTGTAGCTTCAAGCTAAAAGAGCTTCTTATCTAGATAAAAATGGCTCAAGACTTTAAGAAGAAACATGAAACAAAAGAAAAATTTTAAAAATGAGCTTCCAGTTTAGTAGGACATTTTAAAACTTCCTGCTCTCTATGCTAAGTGAAGTAAAAGGCTGATCCTGCCATCTTGCAAGAAATAAAACTGTGCTACATCTGTGGATTTCATCCCTTTCTCGGATGTGAGGCTTATATTAATACATCTGTCATACCAGTGATTGCCACTCCTTCCCCTATAAAGATAGCAACTGTGATTATGGTTTTTCTCCTTTGGGTAAAAAGGGTTCCCACTTAAAGCTGCATCAAATTCCAATGAATCTGCAAATGACAACGACTGGCAAGAAGGCATATAAAAATCTCATATAAAAGATTTTGGAAACATTTTCTAAATATAAGAAAACACCACGGGGCAGATTTCCTTAGGTATCTGGATACTTTCCCCTTTTTATCCTTCTGTGAATTACCAGTCATCATAAAAGTCTATAGCTAATCAGCAAAACTAGCAGCAAATGCTATGTACTCTATCTTTCTCATTGACTTATCTAAGAAAAAAATGTTTAAAAAAGGAAAGCAAATAGCACATTCAATGAACAATAAAAACTGTAGGAAACAACAGCTGTAATGTTACATTTTAAAGTTGGAATGAGATTAATTATGAACAAAACACAACAGAAGTTAATAGCAAAATGCCAGTTTTTTTAATGTAAATGACTTGGAAGGACACATTGAGTCATTCTGACAATATTAGACTCGGTAAAACTAACAGAAAACAAAGCTATTCATATGGTGTTAGGAAAAGATTTCTTAGCTATGACATCAAAAGAGTCATAAAAGAAAAATAACTGATGAACTGGACTAACATTTCATCAATTCTGCCTATGGCTGACAAACTGATCTACTCCAAAGGTTTCTTTGATTCATTTTTCTTGCCACATCTGGTCTGCTCACCTTAAGGATTAGTGGAACATTTTCTCCCTTGGAATTCCACTGAAGTATATGTTAATGAGAAAGTGAGGAAAAGAAATGTACTCTTACAGAAATGTACCAAATGAGCTTAAATATATTCTTTAAAAGTTAATTAGTATCAACATTACTTAAAAATATTATGTAAAAACAGTTCAATTTAGAAATCAATTAAAATCCAACTTAAAGAATTTGACACCGCTCTTAGAATTTAGATTAATGGCCGGGGATTTAGCTCAGTGGTTTTGCACCTGCTGTGCAAGAGCAAGGACCCAAGTTCGATCCCTGGTACCAAAAAAAAAAAAAAAAAAAATTTAGATTTACCATGTTATTTCCTTAAAATGGTCTTATCCTCACACAGCTCTTAATAACTTGTGTTTCAGTATATAATTTTCTGACTCCATCATTCAAAAGGATTAGAATTTGTGGAAATGCAACAGATGTTTTCTGAATTATGTTTCATATAAAGATGACACTAGATCTTTGCCAGAAGTCTGAGATCACACATACAGATTAAATTGTGTGGGTGGGGAGATGGGTAATGGGAATAATGAAGGGTAGAGGCAAAGATTTCATGGTCAAGTAAATGTAGAAATGTTTCTCTGTGTATCTCTGAATACTTTTTGTCTCTGAATATGTTCATTAACATCTCACAGAACACCGAGAACAGCAGAGTTTGGGAAATCTTTCTACAATAAATTAGTTAAATTTAAATTAAGTTAAAAAAATCAAAATGCTTGCAAGGCACAATGCCAACACTGCAGACAGCAGTTACCACCTAGAAACTAACTGGGGAATGCAGACACAACGCAGATTTACATTAGTCTTGAACAGCTAGATTAATAAGTCACTCAACAAATGCACTGCTGACCAGGCTTTCTGCACTACCTTGACGATCTTTAGAAATGAAGTCTCAAGCTCTTTCTCAAAATTATTGAATTCCAATATTCAAAATTTTATTAAGTTTCTCCACATCACTAATATACCCATGAGAAGCACTGGTTAAGAACAAAGACTGCCAAACTTTTTCTGTAAAGGACTAGATAGTTAATATTTTAAGCTTTGCAGGCAATATGGCCCCAGTATGACTACTGAACTCTACTACTTAATAAATCAGTTAGTAAGGAGATAGAATGGAGACCTGTTCTTATCTGTAGTAACAGGACTTCAAATACACAAGGCAAAAAAAAAAATGATGAGTGAAAGAGGAAACAGACAATTCAGCAATTATAAGGGAGATTTTAATATTGCCTCTCAGTATTGATAGAACTAGAAAGATACAGATACATGAACAACACTATCAACCGACTTGACCTAACTGAATTTATAGTATACTCTGCTCAAGAACATTCTTGTCAAATGAAAATGGAATAAAACACACGCCAGTCCATAAAACAAGTCTTAATTTAGAAAACTAAAATTATGCATATTATGCACTCCAATCATATGGAATTAAATTAGAAATGTGGGAAATTCCCAAATACTGCATTAGGATATCATATGACAAAATTATAAATAAACCATAGGTGAAAGAAATTTTGAAGGAAATTAGAAAATACCTTATGAGACTGCATGGTACTGGTTTAAAGATATACATATAAATATAACAAAAGCACTCAAGAATAAAGTTTTACATTTATATTTGATTTTGGGCAAAGATATTAAAGCAATTCAATAAATGGTGCTGAAATAATTAGATATATACACAAAAAAAATTTAGCATCCTTACCTCATATCATAAACAAAAAAGCTCAAAATGGATCACATGCCTAATTGTAAAAACTAATATGATAACGCTTCTGGAGAAAAATATTTGACTTAGGGCTGAGCAAAGATTTCTTGGATAGGATATCAAAAACACAGTCTGTAAGAACTGATAAATTTGACTTTAAAAAGTTAAAAAGGTTTAGTGTTCAAAAAGCATTCCCAGAAAATAAAAAGTAAGCCAGGCTGGGAGAAAATATTTTTTACATCATTTATCTGATAAAGAACTTGTATTCAGAATACATAAAGAACCCTTAAAACTCAAGACAAATGCCTCAATTTTAAAGTAATTTAAATGACATTTTAACAAGATACATAAAGGACTAATATATACATTAAAAGATGTTCAATATTAGTCATTAGTGACATGGAAATTAAAACCACAATGAGATACCACTCCATATCTAAATTGAGGGACATTCTCAAGTACTTTAACTTTAGCAAAGAGTAGAATAGAAGGTGAGAATCTGGAAATTGATTCTCTTAAAATTATCTTTGCTGATTTACTCCTTGGAAAGCTTCTGCTTACTTCCAATGGAACAAATACTCTACTTATAGATCACTGGTATATGAAAAAAGGAATCTGGTGACCAAGAAAGTATTTAGTTAACAGGATTTGTATCACCTGGAAAGACAACATCCATGAGGGAGTCTGACTTGGAAAAGAAAAAGTAGTTAAGGCTGAGAGAGGAGGTAACACAGAGAGAAACAGAGACAGGAAAACTCTTGCTGGAGTTTCTGACATCATCATAATTCTGATAGTCCCTAGCACTGGCAACTAGAGCTAAGTGAAAAAGATAAAACTCAGGCAACAGTCAAGATGTTTTCATTATTGGTTGTCTCTCACATGGGTTCCCTTCCCCAACCCACAATGACTAGAAAGCACTATGCCAAGGCAAGTCTGCATACCTCCCTTTAACATCATGTCTATAAATCACACCACAAAAAACTGGTACAAAGCAGAAAACTGCACCAAGCAGAGTGGATACTCTATTATGACCCACACCCCAGCCTCAAGTTACAGCATTTGTCACACTGTAATCACAGCTGTTTGTTTACCTGCCAGTCTCTTCCCCCTCCCTTTATAGATGTGAATTGGCCTTGTTTCAGGATAGAAACATCTTGAGATCTTCAGCACCCAGTATATTGTCTGGCTGTTAGTGCACAGTTAATAATGCTCCAAGAAAAGAAGACTGAGTTGTTTATTACTATAGATATAAACTCCAAGTGGACAGTTTGAATATCTGTCCACAGGGACATATTCAGAAAACACTTTAGGACAGCCAGTGTACCTGTATCATATTTTCTTTCATAAAAGAGTCTCTCTCTAAAAATCTGGTAGAGTATTAAATATCTAATCCTCTTTTATATAAAATCCTCAGAGGAATGGCTACATAACAGAAATGTGCTATAGTGAGACCAGGGACTATGGAGAAGATAGGTTAACTGGTTCTGTCTAGTACCAGTGACTGGATAAGTATTTTCTCTGGCTTTTAGTTTCCTCCTGGGTAAAATAAAAGGCTTAAAATATAATCTTCAGAATTCAAATGCTAGTATTCTAAGGATCTTTAATCTATTAGTTTCACTACTGAACAACCAAGAAGTGGGAAGCAGGTCATATACTGAGTATTCCTAACATTTTGGTAACTCTTTGCGAGAGATCAAACTAAATAACCCTGTCAAAACAAATTCACTGGTTCAACTCCATGAACAAATTAAATAGGCACTGAAAAAGAACCTCCTTTTGAAACTAGGAACTTGACCTTACTATCCTAATTTCAACTCCAGAAGCTAGCATTTCATCACATATCATAAACATTGACATAATTGAAAAGATAGGCTTACCTGCCAGGAAACTGCTCCGAAAATCGCTGTTGCAAGAAGGCTAAAAAAAACTAATTGCTCTGAAATTAAGCAAAAATGACGCATCCCTTTGGATGCCATGATTCTATCAAGGCTATTGTTATCTGCCCTGTGTGCAAAATATACTTTATGGCAGTCATTTAATTTGGTATGGAATCCCCAAAGAGTTAAAAGAAAAATAACATGGCAAATCATCCAGAAAATTCCGAAAATGGAAAAGCCTGGTATTACAAAATACCAGAGATGAGTGTCTCTAAGTTTAAATGCTGACAAAATAAAAAATGTAAGCTCAATCAGCCCACTGAAAACAACAGAAAGTCTTCTGCAAATTCTTCCACGGTACAAAAAGGGTTTCCATCTTTCAGTTACTGAAAGTCCACTAAAATAAATGTCAAGGAAAGGATCAGTTATTAGGCAAATAAAAAAACATGCAAAAGCAATTGGATTTTTGGGAGTTTCCAATGAGGAAAAAAATAACAATACTGCAAAAATAACCAAATTTGGAATAGCAAGGAAAGACTTCATTCTCAGGTCAATAATCAGCATGGCCAAGGCTACAACAAGTAAAATGACACTCAGAGACTTCTCTACCAACATAGTTGTGCTGGCAATGGCAAATCCAACAAGTTCCAGAAACTCTACCGTGGTTAGTAAAGTGGGTCGATGACGGACATAACCAGAAATTCTCTCCACTAATGCACATAATAGCCTTAATACTATGGAAGTTAGAAGCAAGTATTTAGTTGATTCTTCTTTCACATCATTTTTAAAGGATGAATTATCAAGAAAACATAGAAGGCCAAGCAAGAATCCAAACCAAAGATTGGAGAGACTTAAACTTGCTGCTTCCATTGAAAAATAATAGTAGAGTATACTGGCAATTCCAAGGACAAAAAGGCCAAGAATAAAAATTACCAAAATTAAGGAATTTGCTGTTTTTTCCCATCTTACATAAAGACCTAAACAAATAGCCACCAGTAAGTTTATTCTGGCTAAATAGCCAAGGTACCGCACTGAAGAATGCATGTTTACTTCTCTATTTACTTCTTCCAGTCTTGTCATTGCTAGATAGAGACAATGACTAAAGCAATAACGCAGTGATTTACACATGTAATCTAGCAATTCAGGTTTTCTCCTCACGTTACAAAAATTAACTTCTTGTATTTCATCCAACAAATCCAATGTATTGGTAACTCCTATTCCAACATTTTCTCAGGTAGAAATTTTGTTTACAGTGATCTAAAAAGAAGAAAAAAATTATCAGTGTTAACTTTACTTAACATTTCATGCTGTTCTTCTGAAATCCAGTTTAAAATATGATTTGTATATGTCTAATGTAACTGTTTCTGGCATGAAAACTCTGTAGTTTATTCAAAGGAAAATGGCTGTATTTTTTACTCATCTTACTAAAACTGCATGACTAAATCACCATCAATGGGATATTCCTTCCAGAGATGAAGAATCTGATTAATCCATTCTTATTCCAGTGTTCAGTTGAGTTTAGATTATAGCCATGGCTTCAGCACACAGGAAAGCCACTAAGCTCTTAAACAGAATGAACTACTTCATCATTACTTGTAGCAACCACTACAACCCACCTAAATCTTCTACATCTTTTTATAAGGCAGCTCTAAAAATGCTATTAAATCTTAGATTTTATACTCTTTAACTAATAAACTTACTTAGAAGTGAAATTTAAGTTACTCAATCCCTAAAAATAGCTATAATTGTTCTTTAACTTTTACCTCTACTAAATATTCTGATAATGAAAACTTGATTTCCAATCTAAATATAACTGCAGCAAGTCAAAATTTTAAAAACTGGAATGATGATCAACAGTCACTGTCAAGTAAATGAAGATCTTTTTCTATTCTATTTTTTATAAAGGTACTACAAAGATTATTTGTTAGAAGACCCAAAAATTATTCCAAATATAAATGCCCCCACAAATTGCACCTAAAATATGACAGTAGTTTAAAAAATGCTTCAACCATTTGATAATTACTCAAAATATTCTAATATACTTCTTCCAAAGAACTTATCTCTTGTAATGACTTATGCTCATACAATATTGAAACTGAATTCAAATATTCAAAGAGTAGTTTGCGGGCTGGGGATATAGTTCAATGAATGGTAGAGTGCTTGTCTAACAGGCGCTGGGTTCATTTTCCAGCACAGCACTAACAACAAAATAAACAAATAATACTAGTTTGTCATCAGTTTATAGTTTCTCAATGGCAGTACAAAGACTCAACAGAAACACGAGATAACCTGGAATTAACTTATTAAGTACTACTTTGGTTGAGGAAGAATATTACTGAAACAACCTCAGTGTCTCTGGGAGGTTCCTAGCATTATTAGTAATTTTACTTATTAATAAGTTAACTGATTTTCTTCAACTACATTTTCAATCATTTTTTAAGGTAACACAATACTAATGAGAATGTCTTTAGTACTTTTGGTTTATCTTTTTATTTAAGTATGAGAAACTGAAAACATCTGGAAGGCACTGAATTGTGTTTTTTTAATATATTAAAATCTGTGTGTTACAGAATCATTCACCAAATATGTTAAGATATACATTCTCAAAAGGCTGAGATGGTATGGTTTGGGCTCAGACTACTGAACACCACTAGAGAAAGAAATCATTACACTCTGCTAAATCATTACACTAAATTCATGACACATCCTTTTGTGTTTTCCTGATCAACATCTTTCTCTGTATTCAAGTCTCTCTTCCTTCTAAAGTTTCTGATACCTACTTCCCATAACATTTTCATCACAACTCTGCCGCCTTCACAGTTATCAGAAGGAAGCTCACCTGCATTCCCAATACTACAAAACCACTTCTAACTACATTTCTGTATAATTGGAAACAAGGCTGTTCCCTTCTTAAGGCTAAATCATTCATTCATACTATGTACCTCTCCCCCTTTTTCTCTTTCAGAACATTACTCCTTTCACTTAAATACCTGTAAGCCAGATTTTTTTTAAGTAACACAAGAAAAAAAAAAGTCTCAAAAACCCAAAATCAAAAACAATCCTTGTTCATCCCATCTCTTCTTCCAAGTTCAATCACCTTTCCCCTTCTTGACTGCCAATATCACTTCTCATACATTCACTTTTCAAGACATTAAAGAATAGTTCCTACCACACAACTGTTCTACCAAATTCTGAAATGACCTGTAAATTCCTAAATACAGAGTAATTTTTTAACTCAGTGTCCTGTGAATACTTTCAACAGCCTTTATGACTGATGAGTCCTCTCATCTGAAACTCTCTCTTCGACTTCCATAGACCAAGTCTCTAGATTTTCTTTCTAACTCATGGGTCCCTCCTTAAAAGCTCTCCATTATTAACTCAACCTTTGGCTACTCAACCCCAAATGAAGGCTCTTCTCTTACTACACACTTTCTTTGAGTAATCTCAATTATTTCCAAATCTTCAATTACATAACATAATACATCCATATCACAGAATATATGCAGCCACCTTCATATGGACCAAAACAACACAATTAATTATTTTTAAATGGCTAAGTTACAAAATTCTTCTTCAAAAAGACAAATAGCCTGAATTAGAGAGTAAAAAAAAAGGCTCACCATACTTTCTCCTTGGTCTTCCAGCACTAACAATTTAAAAGAAAATTACACCAAGGCAGATAAAAACAAAGCACAGAAAGCCAATAAGTACATGGGAAAGTTCACTAATCACTACTAGAATCTAATTATTTTATAAAATTTCCTTGGACATGTGGTACCCCTGGATTTGATCCCTTACATCACAAAGACAAACAAACCCATTTATTACTCTTTTCTCCTTCATCATCTACCATTTAACCCTCAACAGTTCCCATCTATTCTTCCTAAACATCTTAGATATTTCTTCTTTTCATTCCCAAAGTCACCATTCCAGTTTTGCCCACCATCATCTCATCCTTGAATGCCCCTCTTTATCCACTCCAGCTCTTCTATAGGAAGCGTTCATTTTAAAGCCAAAATGTATCAAGTCACTTTGCTATTCCAAACTCTCCAAAGGCTTCCCACTGTCCTTAGCAACAAAGTCTAAACTCTTTGTAAAGCCTTATAAAGCACTCTACATTGGGCCAGAACAACTGTCCTGCATAGTCAGTCATAACTCTTCTTCTGAAACTTTGTATTCTAGACATACTGATATTTCAATTCTGCACTGCAAAAATATTATTCCCTCTCTAGGAACATTCCTTTCTCTCCTCCTGCACATACTTGTCCTTACACCTGGCTTTCCCTTACTTTTCAGGTCTCTTCTTAAATCATTTTCTTAGGCCCATCACCCATGACCCCCCTATATGATTCTTGTACTTTTCCTATAATAGAAAAAAGTATTCATCATCGGTTTGACTTCAATAATTGTATGCCCTGTGTCTAGCAGAAGGTCTGGCTGTCAGCAAGCTGGTATTCAACAACTTGTTTAAATAATAGTCTAAGATGAAATAACTATAACAATAATGCTAATCAGTTATTGAACACAATAAAACACAAAGAAAATAACGTCTAATATCCCACCGCTGTTAAGTAATACAGCTAAAGGACATTCCATGAATTTTTGGATTCTTTCGCTTCCAGCCTCACTCCAGCTTTTCACTTAATTCACCCAACTTTCTCCAAACTAGTAAGTTCTCTCTTCCTGTCGTATTTCTGGGGAACCGGTTCAAGACACTATCACTTGCATCACCTTTCACTTGGAAACTTTTTCTGTTCCTTCTACAAGTATCAAAAGCATAAAGAACCAGACTGAGAAGCCAGGGTGGAGGAATGTCAGTCTCTCGGTTCTCTAAGTTCAGGATAACTCTTGACCCATCTCATCAGAGAATGGCACTTCGAATATTAAATTCTTTGGTGATGGCAAGCAGTTCCTATTCAGCCTCCTAGCGAGAGGTGGGAAGATCGGATCAGGAGCCAGGATCTGCTCCCCACCACTTAACTACCGGAGAAGGCGACCGGCACCGGCACCGGCACGTCGCGCCCAGTTGAAGCGGTAGACATGAGGAGAAGCATCCCACACCCGCCGCCCGCCACCCTCACCAACTCCAAGGGTAGGTATCCTTACCCCCGCCCCGGGATGCCGGCGGGCGGGGCTTGCGGCCTGGACCTCGCGGGGCCCTGGGCGGTTTCTGTGCTCAGGTCTCGTGGCCCGCCGTTCACGCCACGGTCCCCCTACCTGATTCGGCCGTGGGCACCTCTCAACTTGCTCTGAGGCCAACAAAGTAAGAAGGTGACAGAAGGCCTGGAGGACTGAGCCTGCGACTGGCACAGAGAGGTGTCAAGCCAGGGGGTAAGAGGGCCCGAGGCTGCACTCACTAATACAAACCAGTCTCCGTAGAAACTTTCTCAGTGACGGGACCGAACCCGGCCGCCATGTTTCTGCCGCAGCATTCTCCGCGGTACGGAACGCCGCCGGGGTCAAGCCGCGCCGCGCACTTCCTTAAGAAGCCTGCCTTCTGCCTGACCTTTCTTCACAACCCACGCGAGGGCAGACCCTGGTGCACCTGGAGTGGCGAGAATGCCAGTTGTCCCACATACTGCGTAGTCTTCGTCCTGAGGACCTGGAATTAACGATGGAGCGCTGGAAACGGGAAGCCCACCAAGGATCAGACACATCAAGCATCTAGGCCTCTACTCAGTCAGGATCGGAAACTGGGGCAAGTGGGCGTGACGGCTACACTTGGTTCGTAAATATTGCAGGAGTCGTTGCCGCTCTTTAATATATATATGGCACAATTTTGGCCCTCTCCTGACTTGGGCTACGGGCCCATGTTTTGTTTTTGTTGTTGGTTGGTTGGTTTGGTTTGGTACCTGGGATCGAACTCAGGACCTTGCACTTGCGAAGCAGGAGGGGTGCCATTGAAATAAATCCCCGACCCACGTTTTAACCCCCTATCGTTTGGCTTTTAATGAAGCATACCTTTAATTCACCGGTTTTTACTCTGCCAGCACGTAGTTCTCCTTGGCCCTGAGGTTTCTTCAGACTCCATGGCTGATTCTCAGTTGTATTGTGAATGCCCTGAGTATGGAGATACTACAGTACAGTATTTGGACGACCATTTCATAAAAGCTGTGGAGCAGGATAGTCTTGGAATTTGAATCCTGTTTGCGATCTTGATTTCTCCATCTATAAAATAGCAATGAAATGTTTACAAGATTGTTGTGAATATTCAATGAAACTTTTTCGCCCTCTGATATAAAGTAGTATTAAAAAGTTCAATGATATTTGCTGAAGCATGTTTAAGAAGTCTGTGTTAAGACCATAGCTGTTAGAATAGCGGCCAATGCGAGACCATTTTGCAGTGGGGGAGAGAGATTGGGCTGGACTCATAATAGAGCATAAGCAAGTGGGAATTTACAAGGAAGGAGCCCTGTGGCATGGGCCAACGGATATAAAATTACCAAGAGGAAAACATGGGAGTAAAAGGAATTCTGGCTAAAGGGACCTAATGGGATTCTTTTTGAAGAAAGGCTAGGTTGACCAGAAATCACTTGGAGGGTAGCAGAGCAGGAGAGACCTGATCAGATAAGGGGATGGAGGGTTCTTTTGCTGAAACTGGATTTTACAAGGAAGTTGGCTTCCAGAAAACTCTTGCCTGCCTGCCGACTGCTCCTACAGTCATTGTCTACTGCTTGTAGTTTTCTTACCTTATGTGGACATGGATGCTAACACCTATCTTACTGGGTAATTGTGTGGATTTGTGAAATGTATGTAAAAAAATACCTTAAAACCTTTAGATGGTTTATCTCCTTAGGATAAATCTCTGAGAATCTTCAAAGTCAGATTGTAAGTGTAGCTCAGGAGTGCTTGCCTAGCATGTGTGAGTTGTTGGGTTGAATTCCATACCCCCATCCTTAAATAAGTACAGACAAGTTGTGTAGTCTGGCCTCTTTTCGCCCTCAGCTTGAATTCCCACCCATTCCCCAACTCTTTCATTTGCTGAAATGTACTGATATGTCGAGTTTTATTAAATGAGCTTACCACAGTGCCTGATATAGAGTTGCATTTCAATAATTGTAAAATAAAATGATGATAATATATAATAGACCCTCAAAAAATCACTGCTTCTCTCCACTTTTTTTATATTAGTGTTATAGTTTTCCTGAACTTCATTTCATCTAGTAAATGTTGGGGATTGATATGGGTGGCACATAACGTAAGGTTAAACCACTCCTCTTGGATTCAGATTCTGAATATGTAGATGACGATTTGAGTGTAATTCTAAGTACAATCACTAGCCAACTCCCAAATCTGTAACTCTGGTTCTCTAGGGGATATGTACCAATATCGGCTTTCCAACTACCTGCTGATTGTTTCTACTAGGATGTTTTGGTATCATTTTTATTTCAATCTTTAATGGACACATAATTTGTTTTGATGCCTACTATCCAAAGCTTCTATGTGTTTGGAGAATTCCCCACCATAGGATTCCAGTGGCTGAAGATGAAATACATGATCAACCAATCAAGTGTGATAGCTAGAAGCCAATGACTCAAAAATAGTAAGTATGGAAAGCTGTATCTCCTGGGCATCTGCTGGAGCACAGCAAGGTAAGCACCTGAGACAGTAGTGAGCATGGTTGTCTGGGAAGCTTCTAGCAATCAGTATTAGTGGTGCAGAGATGCAGTATTTCTGTTCTTGGCCAGGGCAACCTGGGAGCTCTCTCCTAATTGGTTTTATAGCCTATTATAGTCTATGTGAATTTTTGTTTAGTTCCTTATAGACTCTGTCCTGTTTAACTGTCTTAGTCTCAGGCCACATAGATCCAAATCTCAACTGTCTCCAGCAATCCTTTGAGCTACCTCATATCCTCTAATAAATTTTTTTCTGCATAAAACTGCTACATCTATTTTCTGTTGCTTTGCACAAGACCCCTTATTTAAAACAGTGCTTTTTTATCTGCTTCAAACAGGATCTTCTGCCTTGTGACTTTGAAATCATTTTGGGGGCTTATTGTCTGTATACTTAGGATATTTCCAGAAGAGGTATATATATATATATATATATATGTTTGAAAGTTAACTTTAATCTGCACACTCTAGGGTGGGTCATTAGCATTTGAAAGACACTAATTAGAAATCTTCACTACACATTTGGATGTACAAATGCTTTCAATATCACTCTGCAAGTCTGCACTAGAGGTAGGTTAATTAGTATAAAGGATTCAAAGGGATTTTTCATTGTGGAAATGAGAGGTCTTTAGGATATGCAGGTGGCTAGAATATTGTACAGGCTCTTCTGCCTTTGCATGAATGTGGTAGAAGAACCTGCTGAGCCTAGCACACTGAAATCATTCAGAGTGGCTCCCTGCATCCGTGCTGCTCTTTAGTACTTTGCCACAAAGTCTTGTTGGTGAACTATTGTTGTGTCTGCTCACTAGTAAATATCTATGTAGTAGCATTCAGTCTGAGACTGGCTTTCATTGTAGGGCACCACCAATAGTAAAGGAGGTGACAGCACTCATCAATCTTGAGGTATTAAGAGCTATCCTTATTTACCAAAAGAACCTGATCATTATGAGAGACCGTGTGTTTTTTATTTTCACCCACCTTATTTCATTTATCATTTCCTTTCAACTTCCATTGCCTCTACCCTGGTTGAGGTCCTAATGCCCTAATTACTTTGGTAACCTCCTGCATGCTGGTCATCTCAACTTCAGCCTCATCCATTCTAATCCATTACACTGGTCCCTGGTTGACATTCTCAGAGTGCTACTCTTTGTCACTTCTGGAATTAAAAGCAGTGACTTCTACAGGCTACAGAATAAAGTCTGAATTTGTTAGCCTGGCACCTGAAGCCCACAGGACTTGATCTAATTTCTCCTTTTCCTGATGATGTTTGTCTTAAAATTAGAAGTGTCAGGGTCAGCTCCTGACATTTGCAATATCCACAGCCAAATACCTGGATATAAAATAGCCACCTGGGAACCATTTCAATGACAGGAGATTCTAGGTTGTGGTTATTGATGGTAGTGTAATGATTCTAATAGCTAGAACATCCATTTTCAACACTTGCTTCTATGCAAGCCAAGTCTGTGTACTTCACGCCAAGAGTTGCACCCAGAGGTGTTAGTTTGGATTAGAAAGGCCTGTGTAAAATACAACTATGATAATAAAAGATAATCAAGAAAAGGAGAATGGAGTAGCACTCATCGTAGGCGTGATGACTGATCTTGTCGTACATTCCGGTCCTGTGTAGCAGAGAACCACAGATGAATCGCACATCATCTCTTCCTGTGTTCACTCTTGTTTTAATTCTTGTTTCAATTCCTCTTTCAGTTTTTCAGTGCAGGCCTAAGGCTAAACTAATGCTTTTCCCCCATAGACAATCTCCCTTGTAATTCTGTGTAACAGTTTCAATTTACAAAGTGCTTTCATCTATATTATATAATCTTCACAAAAATCCAATGATGTAAATATCTTCATCACCATTTACCAGTAAGGTAACTAAGGTCCAGAGAAACTACATTGTTTCAGGTACTCATAAGGAAGAGCAGAAACTTAAACCTCAGCCTTTTGCCTTCAATCTCTAAGGGCCATTAAGTGCAGCTTTCTAAATGTCAACCTCCAACCATGCTCTGTGGGGGCACTCAGGTATTTTCCTCTCATTGCTCTTCACAGGAACTAGGGAAGGTTACGGTGTTGACTTACAGCTGCATTTCGGAATCATAAAGAATTTTCTGTTTTTTGAACAGTATTGAGGATTGAACTTAGGGCCTTTGCTCTGAGTTATGTCCCCAGCCTTTATTTTTTATTTTGAGATAGTGTTTTTCTAAATTGCCCAGGCTGGGCTCCCAACTTGTAATCCTCCTTCCTCAGCTTCCCAGAATGCTGGGATTATAGGTGTGTAGCACTATGCCTTCTGCATCTGGAAGATTTTTAACCTACACCCATCCCAAGCCCAGCCAGGACCAGTCTCTGATGTAAATGCTGGGTAGAATATTCCCCTTTTCCCAATCCAGTGATTCTAATGTAAACAAAGGTGAAGGACTACTGAGTTCTTCCCTTCATTAGTGCAGTCTTCCAGATGTGGTCCCAGAAAAGTTGCCAGCATGACCTGGGAACTAGTTAGAAATACAGATTCTCTCCCCGTATCCCCAGTTCTACTGAATCAGAAGCTCTAGGGGTAGAGCCCAGATTTTAGGGTTAGGTTCAGATGTATGTGCCTCCTATTGCTGCACATTTTTAATTTATAAATTGAATTTTTGAGAACCTCCTTGATATCATTTATCTACCTATATAATTCATGTACTATCAAAAAATGTCTTCTAACAGTTCCATTTCTTTAGTCTTCCTCTCTGCCTCCATCTTGACTTAGATGTTCATTATTTATTTTGACAACCAGAACAGAGTAGTGATTAAGAC